TTGAATTAGAGCCACGCAGGCAGTTGAGGTTACAAAGGCTGACATTTTGCACAAGATCAAACGAAACCCGGCTAAATTTCAATTCAAATATTATGTATATCGAAAAATAATATGATCCGCGAATCGCGAAACCGACTGAATTAACTTGAATATTAAAACAGATGCCGCTGCTAAGTCAGATTGATTTGTTGACCGTTGATAATAGCAGTCGCCTGAACCTAACGCTTTTCAATGAGACTCTGGCCAATTCGCGTGGCCGTCTTTATTGAACGTTTCTGTCCGAATGAATAGCCTCAACCAGACAGACAGACTCCAAGCTCTGCGAATCAGTCAACCAAGCTTAGCGTGTGTGCTAAGTTAGTTAACTTAACTTCTATATATACACTGAGAAAAAGGTTCTCCTATGTCTTTATGTATCTGGGTATGTATCTGTATCTGTATCTGTATCTGTATCTGTATCTGTATCTGTATCTGTATCTGTATCTGTATCTGTATATGTATCTGTATCTGTATCTGTATCTGTATCTGTATCTGTATCTGTATCTGTATCTGTATCTGTATCTGTATCTGTATCTGTATCTGTATCTGTATCTGTATCTGTATCTGTATCTGTATCTGTATCTGTATCTGTATCTGTATCTGTATCTGTATCTGTATCTGTATCTGTATCTGTATCTGTATCTGTATCTGTATCTGTATCTGTATCTGTATCTGTATCTGTATCTGTATCTGTATCTGTATCTGTATCTGTATCTGTATCTGTATCTGTATCTGTATCTGTATCTGTATCTGTATCTGTATCTGTATCTGTATCTGTATCTGTATCTGTATCTGTATCTGTATCTGTATCTGTATCTGTATCTGTATCTGTATCTGTATCTGTATCTGTATCTGTATCTGTATCTGTATCTGTATCTGTATCTGTATCTGTATCTGTATCTGTATCTGTATCTGTATCTGTATCTGTATCTGTATCTGTATCTGTATCTGTATCTGTATCTGTATCTGTATCTGTATCTGTATCTGTATCTGTATCTGTATCTGTATCTGTATCTGTATCTATATCTATATCTATATCTATATCTATATCTATATCTATATCTATATCTATATCTATATCTATATCTATATCTATATCTATATCTATATCTCTCTCTTTTTACTCTATGAATATAAAATTTCAAGCATTCTTTTTTTTCAAGTGTATACTATTTCTATTTCTCTTGCCATTTCGTTCTCCGGGCCAAGCCTTTCTAACACGTTTGAAACAAAACGACTAAGAACAAGTTTATACAAACAAAACAATGTTAATAAATAAACATAAATATTAATTTGAGGGAATGACCGGGAACACGAGAATTAACCAAGCTTCAGCTTGCAACTTAAACTTTTGCTTTAGCTGCCGCCTGTTCAGTTTTAATGGCTGATAGGGCATTCGAGTTCGGTTAGCACTTAGTTTTTATACGATCCTAATGTTATGGGATAGGTCCATTGAACGTTCTTTGATAGCCACGAGCTGTGGCTTTTTTTTTTTGTTATATATATGCTTTTTATTTATTTATTTGCCGATGCCTGTTTGGACTATAAAATGAGCACGTTTCAATTTATATACCCATAAAAGATCAATAGCGCTCTCCCTGAAGATCTATGACATTATGCATATGAGTTTCAGATGTTTGGCTGGCCGCGTGTCGCTCCCTAATTTGTGGGCGTCGATCGAATTGTGTCTTAACTGTTTTTTCGGTTAGCGATAAATGATTAATCCATATGGGTAGCAGCAAATTTTTGATTTGATTCGATTTCGTGTTTATGGCAAACATATTCGACGTATTATTGTCCATTCATTAGATAGAACCTAGTGGCGACAATATGCTAATTGCGATTCGCATCGATTCGTGCCTAGCTGTTAATTAATGTTTGTGCTTGATGAAGTGAGAGATACTTGACGAGTTACTTGTGCAAATCATTTTAATTAACTGAAAATCTTATTGAGAACTCATTTAAATCATTGATATCATTCAACTTTCTTTAAGGCTTAATAAGAACGTTTATTAATTTCAAATCGTCTAGCGATAAATTAAAAGAGTTTTCTAAAGTGTTTATGGATTCCTTAAATGGTTTATATACATATGTATATATTTCAGATTAGCCAATAAATATTCTGCAAACTGGAAATGATCTAGAATTTTATCTAAAGATAAATAACAGCACAGATAAGTAAGCGAATACATTAAGCTTGCAAATTGTGATTATTTTATGGCTGATTATTTTATATGCTTCCAAGAATATGAAAAATCAGCAATTAATGTAATCATTTCTTCTAAAGAACACGATTTATACTTCTAGATAAAATGTATTTAGGTAATCTTTAAATGCGTATCCATTTAAAAGTCTTAGTCATTTCTTTAAATGTAGAAATGATCGCTATCTGTATCTCAAAACTTGTGCCGTTGATTTTGTTTTTGTGGATTTATTTGCCTTTAAAATGGATATTCTAATTAACATCTTATGATTTCGTAGATATATATGGGCAAGTTGGATCTCTGCACTAATTGCAGACGAAGTAATAGAAGCTTAGTTCAGAAAATACTTTCTACCATAAAAGGTGGTATAATTATTTTTATTTTTCATAAAATATGCTTTATGCATTCAATGTGTTAAAGATTTTGCAAAACAAAGTACAATATTGTTTAAAGCTACTCCGGTACTTTTTACCTGATACTGCAATGAAATTCCGATATTAAAAATAGCTCTTTTATCTTTTATCTGCAGACATTTGTCTAATTCGAAAATAATTGAATGTAAAAAGTTTAAAGTTTATTTTTGGATTGTGAATTAAGTAATTATATATCCACACACCTTTCGCATGTTCTCATAGACCAAGTCTTTTGTAAAATTATTTATGCAAACATGCAATTTACGAACTTTGTCATTTATTTCCCTTGTGATTGACAATCACATCTAATGCCAAACATCAATCATCAGGCGATGATTAAGGGCGCATGAATACATCTGTTGCGACAATTTAAAGCAATTGTTATCTAAGGCGCCATAGGGAACATTAATAATATTTATGTTATTCAATATGCATATATGCGCATTGTTGATTAGCTAAGAATTCGATTAGATAATCTCAGCTAATGCCGCGGGTATTGCTTGTAATGCCGTGGGTATTGCTTGTAAGCTCGCCACTTCCGTCATAATTTAGCATCGGGCGTAACAACAGAACGACATGTATCAGTACTCGCTTTATGCATAATTGCGCTTAATTGCATTTGACTGATAATCATGATGGTGTTAATAATAATAATGACCATAGTGATGATGATGATGATGAGTGCGATGATCGTTGCCGTAAGATTCTTATCTGCGGCTGTCTTCGCCTTTTGCCAAGCGTCGCATTTATAATTAATTTGACTTGAAGTCTGTGTGCCCGCCCCATCCACCCCATCCGGCCCATCCGCCCGCTTGTAAGCGAAGAAACAACGCACAAAACAAGTTAATTTATATAATTAATAATACAATATATATATTGACAAAAACTTTGCCAGATGCCAAAATGTCTCATTGTGTGGCAACTTGTTTGAGTCGAATGAATCGAACGCACAAAAACATAAATAATAATAAAAATAAAAATAAACAGAATAAAATGAAATGAAAAGATTCATTGAATAACGAAATTCAAATACACTGTTAGTTTATTTATAACAGAAGAAGGGTATTAGAGAAATGAATAGATTATGAATAGAGTTTTATTTTACATTATTACAGTACAAAATTTTTATTTATATATTTATTTGTATTAATTTTATTATATTTTTTTTCTTATGCATCAAGATAGTAAAAAAAACAAAAATGGTTATAAGTGAAGTTATTCAAAATTTATATTTTTAATTCTATTATTATTGACCTAAGCTGGTTTTTTAGACAATTAAAAAAAAAAAATAAATAAATAAAAATTTTATGTTTTGCGTATCAATTAACAACGGAAATTGTTGGTTTAACAAAAAAATGTATACTCTTCCCAGTTTTGCAGCTTTTAGCTGAACTTTGCAGCACATTTCGAGAAATAAAAAAAAAAAAATTATAAATAATAAATATATAAGACGGAAAACAATTGTTCAAAAGCAATATCGTAATTTTTATTTATATATATTTTAAAGTCAAAAACATATTCCATAAAACTCATTTGATGATTTTCGTTTGTCTGCTGATCCATATATCTTATCTACATAAATGCGCTTTGTAATGTAATGAATGTCAAGTTCATAGAACTCTCTCTTTGAAAGAGTATAGAAAAGTTTTGAAGCTGACGCCTGGTTGTCTGTTGAATCAATTTGTTTGTTGCGGGCAGCTTTCTAAAGACTTGCTAATAAGTATTTTTACATATCCTGTAGTCAATTTAGAACTATCTCCCTCTTTCTGCTTCTCTCGCTCTCTATATGGTAATTATGCAAATGTTTTCGACAGTCAAATAAGTTTTTAGGGGGGCAATTAATCTAACTAGAAAATCCCCCAGCCCCTTAAGGTTTTGATGGACACACAGACACACGCCATGGGCATTCGAGGCGACACTGAATACTTGATTGCACATTAAATTAGCTAGAGTCGATCGAAGCCAGAATGAAATAGCCATTAATTTTAACAAGCAACTCATATTCATTCATTCATTCACTCAATGTGTAATCGAATACTCACTTTCGCACGCTGCTACAGAGAAATAAAAATAATATTCCTGCTCGTGTATACTTAATTATATATTTGTTTATTCATAGAGCTTACTGCCAGCAAGGAACAGCAGCTCGAACAGCTCATCAATTTATATAGACTTTGATTTGGCTTGATTTATTGGTTTTACATGTGTTTCGAATTATGCACGTGCGACATAGATTCTTGTATAAGAGGAGTTCAATCCCAACACTTAGCCTACAAAGTAAGTTTCTAAAACAAGTTTTAGTCTTAATAATAGAATAATAATTAATGATTAAGACAGGTTTCAATCGAAATGTTTTAACTTCTTAATTTATAAGGTGTTACATTCAAAGTTTAAACAGCTGAGAATCACATATTAAAAATATACAACTTGTTATGTTGATTGATGATTGTTGGCATAAACTCTATGATCTATTTAAAATAAACAAGTAATTAACAACTGAACAGGTTTATTAACAATATAACTCACTTTGCAGCACCTTAAACTTGAGTCTTTTGATTACGCCGACAATTATGGGTCAATAGGAGTCTCTGTCAAAGTAAAAAGATATTCGAAAGTATATTGATTAAATGTAAAATACATTAACCTTACCAGAAACTTTCTATCAATGTGCAGGACCTAACAGGGACGCCTAAGGACATCCTGCCGCACTAGGACATACCGCACGCCCCGCGTGAAGTATGAGCTTGTGCAGCAGTATGTTCCTAGACGGCCCTGCTGAGTCCTACCATGGATACGGGATTGTATAATAATTGCTATATTTGGAAATATATGACTGTCAAAATTTTGCAGAAAAGAATCTACTTGTAGCTAGCTTACATCAAAGTAATTTTTTGGATGACAGATTCATGACAGAGTTCAAAAGGAACTGCTATGAAGTTCTTTTTACGGAGCTGTCAAATGTTTCCAATGCATACGAACTGAAATTAAATATTATTCATTCCTGTGGCTGGGTTACGCTTAAGGGTCAGCCATTGGTTCTTCATATTAAAAATCAGGATTCTCTATTAAGTTCTATTGGCGGTTCAACCAAAATTGAATTCCACGGAATAATTTCTAATTATTTCAATCACACATAAACATATGTATATATTTCTATAAAACAACTTAGCCATGTGGCACCATAAAACCCTATTGACAGCAAATAATATAATATTATTAATTACACTAATCAATTTATTTTACTGTCCTTCAGTTGACTTCATGTTAACATTTAATTAGTTAAGTTTTATCAGCTGCAAACGAGTGTAAATGGGGCATTCCAAAGAGCTGAAATTGCCACCCCGTTGCTCAGGCATTTAGGTCACCGCCGAGAAGTATGCTTTAATTTATTTCAACTATTGATTGCCGCATCTGCTTGAAACACTCTCCCACACACACACACACACATTCAGTATGTGTGCATGTGAATGTGACGCAAAAGCCAAGCCATTGACATAAATAACAAGCGCTTGGATTTGAGAGTCTGCTGAGGGGTTAGACCGTCATCGAGAACGCGCATAGTTAGATAGATTTCTGTTAGCTTTTCCGGGCGCCGTTGCGTGGGAAATGCTACCCGGAAAGTGCAGCCCTTGGCCGGCTTACATAGATACGTGGGCGGCTGCCGCTGCTGACATATGCCGCTAATGGTGGCTGACTCCTACGCACAAAAGTGATTCATGTGATTCAACACTCGTTTATGCACACACAAAGATTCCAAGTGCCTCTCTCTCTCTCTCTCTGCCTCACACTCTCTATAGGGCCTTCGTTGGAGAGTCAGTCAAGGGTTCAGGACTTGTGCCGCCACAATGATGATGCATGGCTCTGTCCATATGTTCGTCCCTTCCAGCTTATCTGCTGCGCATCTTTATGAGTCTCTTTTGCAATCGAAGGACCACTTGGCATTGGCTCTGGCTATAGCTATGGGTATGTCAATGGCTATGGCTGTGGTTTCGGATATCTCATGGACATGTCGACCCGTTCATTTGTGCAGGGCAAACATTGCTTCATGATAAATCGCTGATTTTAAGTGGCTGGCGACGTTCTAATGCCTATGGGGCATGTGGCATAAGGCATGCGGCATGCGGCATGTGGCATGTGGCTATGGGGAATATGCCATTCCACTGGACAGCAACAACATTTCACATTGCCAAATTTGGCGCACGTTCTGGCGCCACACCACATGCACACACACACACACACACAGAGGGGGTGAAAGGGAGAACGAGAGGGAGACAGACATCGGCAGACATACGCTCCAATTATACACGCACCGTATTGGCAATCGGGCATTTGCGCCAATATGGACAGGTTCGCGCCTGATAAGGCACGAGCACGCGTCGTCGTCTATCCAGGCTGGCGTCGTCTCTCCAGGCGACCAACACGCGGAAGCAACAAAATGCCGCAACACAGTCGGTGGCCGGTGAGCGTTCAGCAGATGTCGAAACATTCAACTCGATTCTGTTGAAGACGACGTGCATCAATCAGTGTTGCCAATTGTCCGATTGTCCAGCCAGCTGCCGGCATTGCCTCGTTGCGCATGCGCTGCACGTGCCCCGCTGCGGCAGCAATAGCAAAAAGAGCAACAGCAGTAGCAGCAGCAGCAGCAGCAGCAGCAATGGCAGCAGCAGCAACAGCGACTGCGTGTGTTGGTGGCTTTAGTCAATGGAGCGGCCGCAATTTCAGGCTCGCACAAGATTGTATTTCAGTCTAAATCGACGTCGATTTACGAGCTTATTGTGCTTAAGCAGCGCCGAGCACTGCCTTCCAAGAAATGCCTCCATATGTCCATAAGCCCCGAGGCGGAGGCAAATGATTGCCCCGTTCAAATTACACACAAAGTTGTGCACGGCCCTAGACAACTTTGACAAGTATTGCTAAGCAAACATGCATAAATTGCTTGCGATTGTGTGGTGTGTGTGTGTGTCCAATTGTATGTCTGCATTGCTTTATACATATGTATTTCTGTTTCTGATTTCTGTTTTTTTTTTTTTTTTTTTGTAACTCAACGCTCAGTCTCCAAGAGCAGCGCGCATTGCCACCAAGTGTCGAGCCACCACTTCCTTCCGTCTGCGGCCCCAACGTCAGCCACCCTAGACGCAGTGTCGTCGCCTCTTGTCGCAATTGTTTTTGGGTTCGTGCCTGCGAATCTGATGCCACTTGAACATAAACAAAGCAACAACATCATCATAAACATTATATATACACAATCCGAAATGGCCAACCCGCGGAATTCAATCGAAGCGTCTACGCGAGCTGGATTTTACTTGCGTCTTGTGTACACCCATTAAATAAAAGTATTCAAACATGATCTTAATTGGCAGTTTCTTTGGGGTTTAATTACAGTATAATAAAACGGAGGAGAGAAGGTTTTCGTTTATGTTATATATAGTATAGCTAGATTAACATTCATTCCTTTACAGAAGCATTCGTAGATATCTGTTGACTGTGCTGAGGGGAAAGTGGATAGAGCCATATTTTAATAAAGTTATGGAAATTCATTCACATTGACAACTTAAATCCACATCCTTTATTTGGAATACTTTTTGTATGTCATCAACAATTCTAAACGGTTCGGCACTTTACTTATATTTTTTTTCTTATTCTTTTTGTATATTCTTAAGAAATTCAATCTACTTAGAAAGTTATCGCCGTTTCCTACCTATTTGAAATCTATGTATGTGTGCATTAAGAAGATTTTTCTATAAATCTGTTCATCCTTTTTTTTAAAGGCCTAGTATTTTCTGCCATCAGCAACTATATATATATAAAAACATTTTTAAATTCCCAAATATCCATATTTCAATTTTTCCCACATTTTCCCTGCTATAAATATTAAACACAACATTTAAAAGTTTTTATAATTTATTTTGTTTCTTGCATTTAAACTTGTTTTGTTTTATTCTTTTCTTGTTTTTTTTTTTTTTTTTTTTTTTTTTTTATGTCAAAGAGTTTAGTGTATTTAAGCATATATTTGTCGTACATTTACAGATCCAGCCATATTAAATTAAAAGAACTTGATTAATTTATTATAAATATTGGAAAATGGCAATAAACTTGTGTAACTTGGAGCGAACTTTATAAATATTAACACAGTTTATTTTACTTGATTTTCATTTTTATTTTGATTGGTTATTCCATTTTCTATGGACATAAACGGAATAGTATAAAGTTTTAGATTTGAGTTAGTAATATATATATTTATATAGAATGAGGAATAGAGAGAAAGGGAAAGAGAGTTGTAGGGAGAGAGGGAAGAGTTAAGTATAGTTGGAGAGATTTTCTTCCGGTAGCAAATTTTGCAAGATTAAAGTGAGATTTAAACTAAGCAAAAATACTGTTTGTGCAATTTTCATAAATGTTTAAAGCTTAAATTTTAAGCAAAACTAAAATTTATTTAACTAACATTACGAATAGTAAATAGTTTATTATATATGTATATATAGTATAAGTACACTAAGTTATCGTTATCGAGTTAAGTAATCGAGTAGTATGAAGTTTATTTAAGCGATAATACACACATACAAATACATTAAAAAACCATAGAGTAACAGACACATAACATACTCTCAAGTAGTACTTAGGCCGGACTCTATAAAATTTCTTTAGAACTTATCAACTAAAATAAATAAAACTTATCGAACTAAACAAAATGGCGACAACGAATGCATTTGATGAATGTATGGATCAGGCGGCAAGCATGAGATGGTTCGCTAACAGAGTATGTATATAACACCAGAGAGATTGTCGCGGATGTCGGACCTGGGGTGGATGATAATGCTTAGCTTAATACTGGTGCTGTCATGGGTGCGTATACGCGATTCAACTAAGAGTACATACAAATCAAATGTCGTATCTGGAACTTTGCTTCTAACCATGCTAACGAACTGCCCAATGACACTGGCTGAAAGCTTAAGCTTGGCTGGGATAGCGACAAAAGCAAGCTCAGTTGATAAGCTAGCTCAAAGCTTGGCGAAAGCTTTTTATTATTTTGCTGCAGCTCGTGTTATTGGCATTTCATGGTAATGTTTTTAGCCTGCTTGAGAATTTGTGTGTGTGAGTGTGAGTGTGTGAGAGTTTAGCAACTAAATTATAATGAAATCCATGCTCAGTGCTTAGTGTATGGGCGGCGGCGTGCGAGCCGGCGCACGCGGCCTTAAAAATTTATTGGGTACATGTTTCTTGATGTATTCATTTTCCTGCAGCTCGTTCTGCTGTCGTCGCCGCTGCTGCTGCTGTAGTCGGTGCTGTTGTTGCTTGCGGCGTCGCGCCTTGTACGCACCGCCAGCACCGGCGCCTCCAGTGAGTAAACTCGGATCCCCGTAGAAGCTGTTGCCGCGATAGTTGGCATCGGTGGCGTTGCGCCGCCAGCTGCCCAGGGGGCAATTGGTCGCAGTACGCCAGTCGGGCAGCTGGACGCCGAGGCGGCGGCACTCGTGGGCATAGGCAGCAAAGCTGTCGCAGTGGCAGCTGCCCGTGGGGCACTCGCAGACGTCCATGCGGCAGGAGTCGATGTAGTTCGTGGGATTAAGTCTACTATCACAGTTTCCAAATACTTCCGAGATGCGCAGCGGCCGGCAATAGAAGTTGGGCTTACGCTTGTTGCACGTCGGCTGTGCCACGATATTATCCCTTAGCCTGGAGCACGACTTCGGTCCGCCCACCTTCCATGAGTTGGCAAAGTGCCACACCTCATCGTCGCTGTGTGAGTGCCCATCCCTGCCCGTCAGATCGTCCCGCCCGCTGCCATTGTAGTTGCCGCACAGCCCGCACAGGTGGCGCTTGTACTGTGCCGGCACCGACACCTGCAGAAAGTTGTTGCCATCCCACTCGATGCTCAGTCCCAGCTCCGTCCTCAGCATAATGCCACCCTCCGCCAGGCGCTCGATGCTCACATTGTGGCCATGGCCATTCTCGCTGCTGCTGCTGCTGTGGTCTGCATAGGGCAGCGTGACCCGCGTGCCGTTCACTTTGACTCTCAGCTTCTGGCCGAGATTGATGCGCAGTCCGCGCAGCTTGAGCGTCACTGTCTTGGGCCAGGACGAGCGCCGCGTGCCACGCCCATCGTTAGTCAGCCGTATGGAGAAGTTGTGACCGTAGCAATCAGCGGCCAGCAAATACTTGCAACTGCCCTGGAAATGAAAGCGATAAAGATTGAGTTTTTAGGAATTGCAGATATGATATAAATATATTTTTCTTATAAAATAATAATTGTAAGAATGATGTGACTTCCTTCACTACCTAATGAAGGATTATTTTTAGAGACTCACTTTACGACCGTTTCACTTGTTATCTAATAAAAACCCAGATTGATGGGAAACTAAAAAACATTATGTTCGGCGTTGTCCGGCTCTCTTAAGGCCTTTTACAAGCTGATCTTAGATAAGGCTGGCTGTCTTCTCAATTTCTTAATTAGCAGAACAAACTGACAGCTGGAGACATGTTCAGTTAATTTGTAATTTAATTATGACCTTTGGCAGAGGGTTTTATGTAACTGCATTTCAAAGTAGGGACAATCCCTTTTTTCCCATTAAAGCCATAAAAACTGACTACTGTGAAAAACCGATTGGACGTAGTTTCTGGCTGAACAAGCTTTTTAAAGCTATTAAATTTATAGCTAATAAAATGTGAACGATTAAAAAAAAAAAAAAAAAAACGAAACAAAATGATGATGGTGAGAGTATATATAGTTGCCTGTTATTCTGTAATTAATTACAAGTTATTTCGCTACGCTCCGTTACGCTTATTTTGACACCCCTTATTTTCACTTAATTTTAACGGACTTTATGTCCGTCGAAATGATCGCTCTTAGCGGGTGGTCAGCCGCCAACTGGAAACTGCAGCTATGGATATTAGTAGAATACTCAGTCAATGCGAATGGGCCATAAAAATAGCTTGTCTATGCAAATCGAATGGCCGTATAAAAGTCTGCTTTAAGCGGCTAATTTATATGTTTGTTTTATAAGTACGACGGACGAGTAATGTAATTATATATCAATTGCCATTAAATGGCTTATTTTAATTTATGCCCATTAATGTCAGTTCGCGTTACGCTCATTGACAATTTGTAATCAATACCGAAATGTCACTCACTTGGAAGCTGAAGAATTTGCCGTCGAAGGTCTTGAAGTGCGGGTCGCCGAAGACCGTGCAAGTGCCGGCAGTTTCGAGGCACTTGGGACAGCACTCGCCGGCGGGCACTTTCAGTTCCTCGTTGGGTCGACACTTGACCGGCTGGCAGCGCATCTCCGAGCAGCGGATGTTGCCGCCAATGCAGCGGCAGCTGCGGCAGGGTCCCATGTTCCAGGTCTCGTTGTTCATGTAGGTGACGCCCTGGGCGGTGCACTCGCTGCGCACCTCGGCCACAATGCAGCGCGGACAGCAGCCGTCCTCCTCCTGGAACTCCGGTGCACACTCCAGTATGGGGCATGTGGCACGCTGGCAAATCGATGTGCCGTTCAGGCAGGTGCAATTAGTGCAGCGATCCGGCGTAAACTGCGTCTTGTCGTAGTACAGCTTATTGTTGAATATGCACTTGCCTGCAATGACAAATGGGTGAAAGCAAATCTGTGAGCAGCTGTGCTTTTGACTACCAATTCGACGGTGGAGATGGGGCTGGGTTTGGGCTTGGTACTCACCTTTGACTGCCACAAATTCGCGCTGTTCGGTGCAGCGTGGGCAGCACTCGTTGGGCAGCTGCTTCTGCTTCGTTTTGGGGCACTGGAGTATGGGGCAAGTCTTTTTGGCACAGCTCAGCTTGTTGCCGCTGCATTGGCAGACCAAGCAGCGATCGTCGATCGAGGCGACAACCTCTTGGCCTTCGGCAACGGTCTGGCCATTGATCTTGCAACCTGCAAAGTGTGCAACAACAACAACGTGATTTTCATCAGACAACGGTTTAAAAAACGTATTATTTGTCTTCTTCTTGATGTATATGTATAAGTGTGTGTGTGTGTGAGTGTGTGTATGTTTTTTTGGGCGACAGCCAAGAAAATTTCCACATGTCGAAACGGGTTTCCAAGCGATCTATTTGCATAGGCAGAGGGCCGTGCGTACCAAATATACCCTGTACGCATAAAGCTGCATTCGATGGGGTAATTTAATGTTGCATAATTATATGACAGACAGCTGGCTTTCTCTGCAGTGCATGTCAACTTTTCGAGGGTATTATAATTGTGTGATGAAATGAGTGAGGCAATGAGGCAGACGTTGCCAATAGCATATAGAGTGCTGCTATGAATAATGTTAGTGAATATATTCGTCTGTCTAAGAAAACTTGGTTCATATTATCAATTTTAGGCATATCCTTTATATGACTGAAATATATTTTTGGCTTTATCGCTGTGGTAGGAACTATACAAATTTCTTTAAAGTTCTTAATAGTCTTTATGGATATTTAAATAAATTCCTATTTAATTTTGTATTTCTCTTATACTTATTTACTTATTTTTGTGCGCTGTCCGTATATTATTTATAGAATCCTTGAAATAATTTTCCCATAACGACAATAAGATCTACTGCAGGGTATCTGCAGGTCCATCAAATATTTGCTTAAAAGTTGCTCTGTTTTGTTTGGAACGCAATGCCACATTGTCGACTTAATAGACAATTTAAAGCCCATAAATAAGCAAATCGTGCAGAGTCACAAAATAGATACAAATAAAACATAAAATAAAATGAAAAAAATAAAAATAAAAGCAAAAAAAAGGGGAAAAAAATTTTGACCATCTGTGCACGGATCGTTTTTGGACTATTTTGTCAGACGAACTGATGAATTAAGTGGCATTATTAGTATTTGGGGTGTTGCTGCTGCTGGTGCTGCTAATTTTAGTGAGTGACTAGTCGAGTGGCTGAACTAGTTGACAGATTGGGACAAGTCGACTCACCCTGACATGTTGGACAGCATTCGCCGGGGCGTGGCGCTGTCAACTGATTATCGTCGCACTGTGAGTAACATTTCTGTGTTGTTTCGGTGACAACACTGGCGATGCACTTGTACGTCTTGCAGGGTTCATCCGGGTCGCTCCATTCAGCGCCGCTCGCATAGGGCACTCCGCGATATATGCAGCCTGATTAGAGCAAGAGTTTAATTAGGGCTAGGTGCTCTTCGCATGCCATTGCATTGCACTTACCTTTGCACTTGCGACAGCAGGTGTCGTTGGACGATTTGGAGTCGAGCAAATAGCAATCATCAATTGAGGGGCAGCTCTTGTCGCAGTTCACAAAGCCATTCTGCAAGTGAAGAGAGAAAAACCTTTTGTTAGCCTCCAATTGCTGTGTGAATTAAATCAGCTTGCCCCACACCATCTTCCCCTCCCTAGCGGCCATTTGGCGTATGCGCTTAATCATGTGAGAGCTTGCTGTCAAATGCTCAACGTAGCCGAGCACTCGATTTGTATTCAGCTACACCTCAATCTCCCCTCGCCACCTGCGGCCGAAGTGTGGCTGCACCTGCAGTTGTTCACTCGCTTTGGCGCTCACACAAATTGCATTTGTTCAACCAGGTTGCACTCTGACCTTCGGCAGTCTTGATTATTTATGGATGCAAACGAGTCAAAATTATATGGAATTGAGTGCACATTTTGGGGCGTGGCAAGTGGCCAGCCAAAGGCCATAAGCGACACTTGAGATGCGCTACAACCAGCTTGATGGGTTGCTTGGAATGCGTGCTGAGATGGAGCTTATGGAAAATAGATACGAAAAGTGATTGCCTAACAGATTATATGACGGTCGATGATGGAGATTGTAAAAGACGAGAAAATAATGCACAACGTTAAGTTAGATTGAATGAGGTCAAATGCTGCAAATAATTGAGATGATTCAAATTTATATTTAATACAAAAATATAAGAATAAAATGGCTAAATCTAAAGGAAGGTTTTATATAAAATTTTATTATTATAATTATTTCATGATAGGCAATAGTTAATATGACTTGAAAAGTACTAAATACTACTACTAAAATACTACTATTTTAGTGCTACTACGTAAAAATTATTATTTAAATTCTACTACTATTTATTCTGCTACTAAAATACTAATATTTTCATGCTACTTTTCTAAATAATAAATATAATAAATACAATACTAGTACTAAAATACTACTACTAAAATGATTCTATTCAAGTACTACTACTAACTACTACTACTACATAAATTAAATAATACTACTAAAATTTGAAAGCTAACGTACTTTGAGGAATTTATTCATAAATGAAATGAAAGTGAACTAAAAAGAAAAAACTTTAAATTTTAAAGCCAGACAAGATGAACTGGCACTAAATTGCTTTACGAAAATAAAGCTGTCGAAAAACCATTGAGGAAATTGACTGTTTACTCTGATTTTTTTAGCCTTTAGTATTAGTAAATGGCAGCACGCTTTTGCCATAATTTCTAATGATAATAAAATTACAAAAATGTGAAATAGTAAATATTATTTTATGTGCAGCAAAGGCCTTCAGTAGACTCAAAGATGCTTAGCATTGATTGCTATCTTAATTAGGGCAGCTAGCGGCTTTATTTGTTCATTTGGCCTAGACTGCAATTGCAGCAGCAGCAACAGCAGCAGCAGCAGTAGTAGTTAAAGCAGTTGCAGCAATTGTGTTGCTGTGTGATGCAGGTTTGGCTTTGCTTTTTATTTTGCGCAATTTTGCTCAGTTTATTTCGTTAACGACATGTTGACAGCGGCAAGCGGCGCATTAGAATTGATGTCGATCATAAGTCAAAAGCTTGTGGCAAGGCTCTGGCAGCTTATGCAACACTCTAATGCGGGCCGCACCGAGCGCACCGAAACTAACTCAAATCAATGGGCGGCTTTAACCCTTGTGCGCGCAGCTGTCGCATGCATGTTTGATGCCCGCTGACAGGTTAAACCGCGAGGAGGACGGAGATGGAGATGGAGAGGGAGAGGGAGATGGAGACGGGGCGAAATCTCTAGTGTTGCTGGTGTCTGATGTGAGCCAGAGTCTGAGGCTAATTGTAAATGTATCTATAAATCTAGATAGATGTCGTACCAAAAACAGGCAAAATATTTTACTAATTTGTATGCAGTTGCGGCTGAACAATGTCGCGGCTCAATTGTGTGTGTGTGTGTGCTAGGTGGTGTGGTGTGGTGTGTGTGTATAATTTAGTGCAAGCAAACCAGATTGGATCTCAATTTGGTTGGAGCCGCCGTCGCAACGTGCAAAATATGCAATTGTTATGAAAATTGTGTCGAGTCGAGAGTTGAGAGTCGAGAGGTGTTTCGTTATTTGTTTTTTTTTTTTTTTTTTTTTTTTCTGTATAGTTTTTGCGGTTCCGAGATTTTTATCATCGTATTAGTTTAATGGCAGTTGTTAGTTGGAATTTTAATGGCACCTTTAGTGCGGGCATCGTAACTCTCAGTACCATAATGCAATAAACACTGACAGATTGAAAAGCACTTTGGTATTATACAGCAACAACAGCAACGGCAACCAGAGAGACAACAAATCCAAAATGTTGACAGCCGTTGGAAAAATTGAAATGAAAATGGAAATGTAAATGCCGATGCTGTTGCTGATGCTGCGCTGCTAGACAAAGTTCAAATGCTCTTGAATCCGTAGATGCGAGCTTGTGTGAAGCAGCTGAGACGATCTTCACGCATTTCCAGATGCCGATGTTTTTATGCTCTTTGAAATTCTTTCTTTCTAATCTGGAACCGGTATAGAAATATTTCAGACAACATGAAAGTTAAGCATCGCCAAAGCAGTTGTTGTTTTTGTTGTTGCTGCTGATGTTGTCTAGTAGCTGCTAGCAAAGGTTGCTATTAAAAAAAAAAAAAAAAAAAAAGAAAGGCGCCACGAAGGCAGCCAAGCGCGTCCCGGACCCGGCAACGGACAAGCTGCTAAGTAGAGGCTGAGATTTTTCGTTGTTGTTGCTGTTGTTGTTGTTATTCGCCAGCGGCAATCACGAATGCCAAAGCACATGTGTGTGTGTGTGTGTGCGTAGTATGTGTGTGTGTGTATGTGTGTATGTGTATCTATGTGTGCCACAGTGGCAGAACCACATTTGCAAACGGCCTCCAACGACCTTGCGTTTGACAAAACATGATCAGTTTTAACACCAGTCCATTCGGCAGCCGCCACGTTCCCACCTCTGCAGCACCGCCTGCCCCGCAGCCATCGACCCGGTCGCACCGCACCAATCGCACAGTTGGCCAGTGAGCCACTCAAACCGCTCGCTAGTCGCTTGCTCTTGTTGTTGCTGGCTGTTGACTGTTGACTGTTAGCTGCTCAACTTAAACGTTTGCTAGGCAAACTTGGCCAAAGACTCTACTAGACTGTAGACTGTAGACTATAGACTGGGCTCTCGCTGCGCCTCATAGAATATGGTAATGACAAACTGTGCTTTTATTTTGTATGTTCATGTGTGTATTTTGTCACTTGTGGGCTAGTTGTTGAATTTGACTAGCTTGGTAGCTAGTTGACTCGGATCGGATCGGTTTATATTGGGTTGGGTTAGCTGAGAGCTTAGCTCTGTAAATGTGGAATTTCATTGGATTAACAGTTGTTGGAATTCCAAAATGAGAAGCATGTGGGATATCCTGTATGTTGAGTGTAGATTGTGTTTGGGATTGTGCTTTCAAATTGTCATGGAATGTGTAAGGCATAGAGAACGACTATATAAATATACATAGATATAAATATATATAAAATACAATCTACAGCTGATATAGCCGTTTGCCTAGCAGAGTATTAAGTCTTCTTCTGAATAAAAATTATATCTCTTGTTTTATTTAGCTGTTAAGTTTATGAAAAAAACTTTTAGCTCTCCCCAATGAAGGAAACATATATTTGAATGCTAAAAATGTCTGTGCCTGGCATAAACGAGTCTTCAATGATTTTCATTAGAATCGTTAAGTCATCTTCAATTTAATTAATTTTGATGTTTTTATGAATTATGATTTTTTGACAAGTGACCCTAAAAATAACCTTTTGAGACTAGCTCTCCCATGAATGTATGTGTTTTTTTTTTATAGTTTCTCTAATGTTCCATATAATTTTTTATTTATTTATTTTTCAATACTTTGTTTACTCTTTTTCCCAATTATTAACGATGTCTCTTCCTTAAATTCACTTTTAATACAGTAAACAGACAGTAAAATTTTTAATATGCCACATATTATCATGTTAAGTATTCTTAACTCCTGCTTTCAACAGCTCAAACTGAGTCATCAGATTATGGAAATAATCGTAAAAAATTCGAACCCCTGCCAACAAGTAAATTTTACTACCTTCCACCTACAATATTCACAGCTTAGTCTCTGTTGAGAAACAAAAAAAAAATACTGTATTTGCAAATATCAATCGTAAAAAATAGCTTGCTCAATCAACTGGCAGAGGCAAGCAAAAAATGAAAAGGGAAACGCTTAAATTATAAGCTATTAGGAGAGCAATGCGCATTCAGCATAATTTTGCCATAAAAACAAAATTTGTTAACAAAGTCAAGCGCGAATATGCGAAAGGACGCGCCAGAACAGATGAAAAGCGGGCAATTTGTATGATTGCGCCTTGGCAAAGGGAGGGTGGTGGGTTGGCTGGAAGACAACGGCACACAGGACACGCAGGATGCGCGGATTGTACTTAATATGCGATATCTATACATATATCAAGATATATAAGATAATAAACGTCAGCCATAAAATATCAGCAAATCACCAAAAGCGTTTGCAAATATTACAATGAGACTGAAGAGTGAATGGGCATATGAAATGTGTGTGAGTATTTGAGTATGTGTGTGTGAGAGAGTGGAGCATGAATAGAAGTAATCATAAAGTGTGTGCTTTACGGCTCTGGCCGCGCATTGGGCTGGCAATTCGATTGTCTAGCCTTGGCGCAGCTTTAAGAGAGCTTAAAGTGCCGGCAAATCAGAAAAAGGAAATAAATGCGCTCAATCGATGCCATCGTGAACTTGCGATGCGCGCGCGCGCAGTCGCAGTTGGAGCGAGAGAGTGAGCACGACCGAGAGAGAGAGCGAGTGAGCGTGCGGTAGCGGCTGAGCGAGACAGGTAGCTCGGTTAGAGCAGGCGCAACGCATGGCGCCAACAACTTAAAGTGAGGTGGCGCCAGGCATTGTTTTTTCTTCTTTTTGTAAGTTTTTTCTTTTTTGGTTACGCCCACTTGGCTCGAGCACAACAATAACGAGCAACGGCCGCAGCATCAGCTCATGACTGGAGGCTATACAAATATCGATCGAAGCGTCGCCGTCGCCGTCGTCGCAGCTGGCGTCGCGAAAGCTTCTTGGCGCTTAAAATGGAGCAGAGGCATTTAGCAGCGCTTAGCGCAAATTAGCAACAGGCATGCAGCGGTCTGGCAACGCCAGCGCCAACAGCACGCGCTGCCGCTGCCGCTGCTGCCGTCGCTGTCGCTGTCGCTGTCGTCGCCGCTTAATGACGACACGGCGCCGTACAGCAGCGCAGCGCGCTTTCTGTGTTAGCCCCCGTCGGTAGCCGTTGACGGCGACAAAAAACACGGCGCCAAGTGTTTGTCAAACGATCGGCCAACCTGTGGTTAGCGTTTGTCATGTCGCAGCAAACCCGTTTGACGACCTTGCATCATAACAATTTCTGGCGAACGCCAAGCGATGCGGCCTGTGCGTTTATTTATTATTATTGTGATTATTAAAATTTGTTTTCTTTGTGATAAAAAAAAGCCAAACAAATGCACAGACCCCACCAGCAAACATTCTGTGCCGAGCACACAGCGAAAAGGTGCCGTTGCTATCTGGCAACTGGCAACTGGCAACTGGCAATCCGCTCATTAGCGAACTTCTAACAGCGCCTGATATGTCCGTCTGTCTGTCTGTCTGTCTGTCGCCGGCTAGCCATGATTAAGTGAGCAGCTTCAGTTTTTTGGGATTTACATGGCGAATATGTGACTTGATTGAATTTATTTTTGTTATTTCAAATGATTGAGAGCAACTTGCAAAAGCTTTACTTACTTTAAATTCTGAGCACATGGATAAAACTGAGAGATAAATATCTTAATTTGTCAAAACTGTGAGCTGAGAAATTATTTTTCATTTGGCTAATACTATGTGTTTGTTTTGTGTTGGTAATATTTAAAGCTGTGTTTATTATATTCTGAACTATTTTTGTTTCATTTATAGCAGAAAAAATTTAGCATTAATTTTGCTCAAAATGTTTTCTGCTTTTGTCTAATTTTTGTCTATCGTTTCACATGGCTGGAAATATTATGCATACGCACCGTTATCTTCAAAATTTCAACATTTCAGTATCTGCTTATTTATAACTTGTCCGTCCCTTCTGGCTGTCCCTGTTGTCCTGCCTGTCGCTCTGTACATGCTTTTGGCATTGCATTCGCTGCCTGTCTAATGGTAAATATTTGAAATACTTTGGGGCGTTTGGGGCACTACGACTGGCAGGCGTTGCGCTGTATGCGAAATGTACACCACATGGCCGCATCCTGGCTGGACACTGGCGTCGTTCATGCAGAGCGCCAGACAGAAGACACAGCCACAGCGACGGCCTTAGATTTATTTAGTATTTGTATTTCAATTCACATATATTGCTGGGTTTTTTATTTTGGGTCAAAGGCTGTCCAGTTTTTTGTTGGCGCAGCTCGCTGGAGCCGCTTGCCTGCCGGGCCTAGAGCCTAGAGACATGAGGCTTACTTAATATACTTAGTTCGTAGTTGCGACTCACCTGGCAAGTGCACTTGAAGCATTTGGCGTTCTGTATGCCTTTGATTTGCACCTCTTCGCCTTCGTTGGCACAGGATTCCATAATGCCTGTTGGAAAAAGAAGACAAAGAAGAAGAAGAAGAAGAATAAGTAAGTAATGGTGTGTATTTGTCTTCTAATGCTAACAAGCTGCTGTTCTAGATGCCCAAACAAACTTGTCAGCCATAAATTGCTGGGCAGACTCACTATGACAACAACAACGATTTCCTGTTAGCTCTCAGCTGACGTTTTCAAATAAACCAAATAACAAATAATCAAATATTTAATTTACAATCAGACCTAGCCGGAAATTGCCTACTGACTGAGATGTTATCCAGCACGTGACCCGCAGCGCCGTTCCCAAAACAACAACAAAGAAAGAAAAAGAAAAAAAAAAACCAAACAGGTCAAAGAGATTAGGCCACTTTATCAGCATTCCCCGTACAGCTTTGCGTGTGTGTGTGTGTGTGTGTGTATAGCCAAACATGCCCTGCCAGATCAGAAAGCAACACACCTCCTGCGCTCTCGCGCACTTTGCCCCTCCCTCAACTCCTTGGCCGCTTGCATTTTGGGTTACTCTTTGTTTGGTTTACCTTCGTCTGCTTCTTGAAACTTCTGGCACCGGCGCTAAGTCAAAGTAGCAAACGCCGCATGTTAAACATGTTCCAGTCGACAGCACAGCAGAAAGAACAAGCGAGGTAGCTGCTGAGCAGTTGAAACGAAGTTGAAGATACCCTGTACTATAAGTATTTTATGTTGTAATTAAATCAACTTTTATATATCTGTATTATATCTTCCTTTATATATATATATATACTATAAGACTGCTATTTAATATATCTGACAATTAATATGTTATTAAGGAAAACTAAAAAAACATGGTATCCCAGAGTACATCCAAAAGATCTCTTTCTATCGCCCCTTACTTTTATACAGGGTATTTCAAAGTAACGATTCGAAACGATGCAGAAGTGAAACGCAACAAGGCAAACGGAAACGTCGGCACAGCGACCCCAGGCTGACTTGCAGGGCCCGTCCCGAAGCCCGGGGCTGGCTTTGTGGGACCACCTGCAATGTGCTGATAAACACACACACACACTCACACACAAACACACGCACACACAGAACACGAACTCGGCGTGTTCGTTGATAAATGAAGACGCCGGCGCTACACACACACACACACACACACACACCGATTTACAAACAACATCTACAGATACAAAGATACAGATACAGTTTCAGATGCTGCAGCGCAGCCCTGTGGTGGCTCTGTTCGATTTTGGGCCCTTTGCGACATTATCCACATTTGTATTTCTTTCTGTTTTTTTTTTGGTATTTAGATGCTGTGCTCATTGTTCGTTTTCCTGTTATGCGTTTGTGTCCTGCTGTGCCATTTCTGTGGGTCGGTGCTTTTGTTTTTCGGGACCACCTTCATTCATAAACAAATTCATTGGCGCTCTAATGAAGTGGAAAAGTTATTTAGTTCCTATTGGAACTTTCTAGGTGGAGACGGATACGGTTCATGCCCTTCTCTTTTGGCTGGCTGCCCATCTAGCGGGCGACAGTTAATGAACCTTGTTCAAGTAACCCGATATCGAAATTGCAATACGTATATCTAATTTATGCGATTTTTTATTTCATTTAACACACTCGAATGCCATAAAAAAAACCCACTCAATATGTTTTAGGAACACAAAACCAAAAAAAAAACACAAAAATTAACGAAAATAAAAAATTAGAAATATATATAAAAGAACAAAATAGAAAATAAAACTAAAAACTGGCAGCGATCAAATACGCTCAGTAGCCGTCCAGCCGGACAGCTGGCGACGCCGGACGCCGGACGCTGGACGCTGGCGTCGTCTGATTAATCACAATCACAGATTAAGCGCCAGCGCGAGACAGCGACGGCAGTGTGTTGGGAGCGCCACAGCGGCACGTGTGGCCAACAGCGCGGAGGGGAGGAAGGGGGGCAGCTAGGCCGAAGCTAGAGGCTAGAGGCTGGAGGGTAGAGGGTGCGCAATGGAATGAACCGTCTTAACGGGCAGCCTATACAGTCCGTACAGAGCAACAACGACAGCAACAACGACAGCAACAACAATAACAACAACAACTACTACTCGTAATACCTCTGGGTAAAGGTGAAGGCCAACGAGTTGCAGGGTGAAACTGTCGAAACAGAAAGAGACACAGAATCTCTCTGCTGCCAGCTGGCGAAGCGTCAGGTGACTCGCTTGACAATCTCAATTGATTTCCATTCTATGGAAATGATCTTGAAACTAATGCTGAAAACTAGATTAAGAATGCGGCAAATTAGCCACAGAAAACTAAACGAGTTACAATAATAAAATGTTACTTTGTGTATGCCAAAAGTAAATGTTGAAATTAGCTGAGCAGATTCAGTTAGAAGTCTAAAGTTACAGAGAAATATAGATATCTATAATATGGAAATATAGATACGCATATATATTTAATATTCTTTAAACACTTTTAAGGCTGCTACTGCCAGTCATGCCCATGGATATATTTTGAAGCCAAAAAACATTGATTGGCATTTGCTGTAGACGTATTAATATACAAGTCTTTAAATGCTGACTGATTGTTTCTATGGGAGTTAATGTCAAGAGACAAATGATAGATTGATTTAATACAGGCTTCGATATTTTTAGAAAACAAAAATTCTTTACATATTTAATATTATTTTTAGAGGAGCTCTAACTATGTTACTAACACGGAAAAGTAGTTTTAGATATATAGAGTGCCTTAGGCATCATTCTATATCTAGAACGAGATTTTCAATATTCAACAATTGTTCAACCATGATTAATGATGTTGATTTGTTGATCTGAACTCTCTTATAAAAGGTATAATATATATATTGCATATAGCTTAGCAGTATTTTCTACACTCACCCGAAAGGCCCTCTCGAAATCCGGCTGCTGCAGTTTCCAATTGATTCAGGGCAATCATCACCATAAAGACGAGGGTACAAATTCGGACCAGAAAATGCGGCTGGCTCTTGTAGTTGTTGTTGTTGTTGCTGCATTTGTGCCTTTGGCTCTGACCATGACATTGTGTGAACTGTGTGGTTGTTGTTGTTGTCGTCACTGGTTGTTGTTGCTGTTGCTGGTCACTCGATGACGTTAGAGATTTCCACATGGCGTTAGATTTGCAACACATTTTCGCAATTTGTTGGCGCAAGTTCACAGAAATTTGCATCAAATTTGTGTAGCTAGAAAACAAATCTCGTTGTAGGTGTTGTTGCTGTTGTTCTTATGTGTGTGTGTGTGTTTTTTTTTTTTTTTGTATTCCCAGTAGCAGTTGCTGTCGTTCTCGTTGTTGCTGTTGTTGTTGTTGTAGCTGCTCTTGAAATATTGCTGAAAAATAGTGTTAAAAAAGATCAAGCCGGTCAGTTTAAAAATACACAGTGCAGGCGCCACAATAAAAACTGAAAATAGAAATTTGTTTGGTTTTTGTTTAGAATTTGGCGAGCTGTGCAGGTGTTTCATACAACTTGTGGACTTTGCTGGCCAGTGTGAGATAAATTTATTCGGGATAAATTAATGCAAGCTGGTCGTCAGTCAGTCAGTGAGACGGTTCTGATCCAGCCAAGAGATTTGCACTTGCCGCCTAGGGTCTAAATGGAAACCATTTGCCCGTTTGCTCTCAGTCGTAATTGTTGTTGGACGTTTTTCGAGGTTTTCGGTATTTTGAATTTTATGATGGCCATCAAGATGAGGCCTGGCCACGGGCCGGCCCAGTCGTCGGCAAAACACACATTTCACTCGATTTTCAGCTCTCACTGCACACAACACACTACAGAATTCTGCGAATCATGTTGGCCTGGTCAATATCCATCGATTTTGCACGTACGCCCAAAAGGTAAACTCCGTTCGGCCATTTGGCTATTTGTCGGGTATCTATCTCTCTGTCTATCGATATGTCTTTATGGCGGCTGTTAGGTGTTAGACAACTTGGACATTATTAGTTGCGATTTATGATCATGGGCGAGTGTGAGTCTGTGTGTGTGTGTGTGTGTGTGGCACACAGGTAATGCCATCTGATAGATATATGTGTGGTGCTCTTTGTTGTACGCCGGGTCATAAAAATGTTAATGATTTTTGCGTCTGGCGCCAGGCAATATTGTAATGCTTGTTTGACTTATAATTAATTTCATTTTTGTAGCTCTCCGCATAATTTTTATTATTTCTATTTGTCTTGGGCAACACCAAATCTTTCAGAGAAAAAAACCAAAAATAAAAAAAATCAGGCAAAAACCAAAACAAACAACAACCACCTTAACATTTTTTTTTTTTTTTTGGCCAAGTTTATTGATTGTTTCGCTTCAAAGTGGCGCCAACATTCGCCGCTCCTAACGCCATGAAAGCGGATGCTAAAATAGAACTTGAACTCGATCTCAATAAAGCGATGAATCAGAAGTCAGAAATCACCTAATATAGTATACTGTATACCCATTCGATTTATTGGAAACAAAGTGCCTCTTTCTCGGGACTTGGCATTATAAAGTAGCTTTATAACCAATGGAATCGATGAATCAGTCTGTTGTTTACTACGCACACTCTGCTTACACCTTCTCAATATATGTAGTCTCTGTGTGATCTATCGATCTATCGTGACGCACCCTAATGCTGGCTGCATTGTCATGCAACGAACTGGCAGATTGTCATGCCGAATGCGGTGCTTGACCTAACAATGTTAAAACAGACAGCCAATTAAAAAATTGTCACACAGACTGATAACGCGCCACACACACACATACATACTATATATATAAAGAACACATTGCTATAATATACTCTATATATATGTATATGTTAATTTCTGCAATTGATAAGATTCACAGCGCACCTCGCAGAACAAAAGTCGAAACGGAACCTCATTTAAGCTGGAAATAACGTTGTTCGGTTGTCTGTTGCTGTTGTTCCCATTGCTGCTGATTAGCTGCAATTTGTCACCGGATTGCTGTTGACAAGGACAATGCACATGTATTATATATATATAGAGAGAGAGAGAGAGCGAACTATATATATAAATGCATATATGCTATTATATGCACGTATGCGTATGCTATGCAGCTGTGTTTATAAAACTCTTTGTATGCTGCTTAAGTGTGCTCATTGTGTGGGGTGTATTGCGCCGAGGACAAAGCTTGCGACAGGCAAATTTATTGTACAATATTCACAGTTACATAAACAAATGTGACCTATTTTATAGAGCATATAATATTATTAAATAATGTTTTTAATTCACTTCAGATTTTAACTATGAAATGATATGAAGTAACACACCATAGCATGGCATTATAATAGTAGTTAGATTGTTGCCCAATTCTATTAAAATATTGCGTATCAACCGAAATAGAACGCCATTGTGTTGTGCAAACAAATTATTGTAACGAGCTGAACTCTCGATATCAAAAGTCAAGCCAAAACTCTAAAGAAAACACTTAAAACTACGCACTTTTGGGGCGAGTATATTTACTTTGTGGCGCTCTTTGTACTGGGCCGAACTTAAGAACACACGAGTTGACATTGAAGTGGCAAAACCCCCAGCGGAACATGGCGATAGTTTCGAGACGAGAATCTTAACCAGAACTTCAGTGGGAACCTTGTACTTGGTGCTTATCGTGTGCACCCAAAAATAAAAAAATAAAAAAACCTTAATAATAAATGTGTATGGGAAATAATATTTGAAGTCGAGGTTGATGTGCGCTGGAGAACACTTGACACGGCCCGAGTCGAGCTTATAAATAGATACAGAGCTGGCAGCTGGGTAAAAATTAGCGAGTTGCTGCTGCTGCTGCTGCTGCCGCTGTTGTTGTTGTTGTTGTTGTCTTTTTTAATTTAAGACAAGTTACTATATAAACGCTTTGATTTAATTGACCGCCCAGCGGCCAATTGCATGACGACGCGTCGCGCGAATCGTGCCAATTAAATGGTAGGAGCAAGGGAGCAGCGGACATGGGCAGGGGCAGGGGTCACTGATTATGGGGTTTCGGTTTCGGTTACACAGTTTGCAACTGAGCTGAGGGGTAGTAGGAGGAATTCTAATGCCGTCTAGCTGGCGTCAGCCTGGCGTCAAGCTGGCAATTAAGGTAAGCGTCTCGCGGCCTGTCCCTTTAAAGGCGGCCCGGTAAAGGGGCGCAACAAATTGCCTTCCGAGCTGAAACAAAAGAAAAGGGTTCACGCCGAGCACGCAGACCTCTGTCTAGACCAGGTCTAACGATGTGCGGTAGGTAGCCGTTGAGGTGGTTAACATAGTAGCGAGTGCCTTGGCTGCTTGGCTGCTTGGCTGCTTCCTTGCTTGGATGGTTGGTTGGTGCGTGCGGAGGCTTATCGAAGAATTCCACTTAAAAACTTGGCCATTAGCGGCTGGCCAACTGGCTGCAACTGTTGCTGCCAATTACGTTGGCTTTTAGCCTGGTTTTTGGGCCTGGCATGTCGCCGCCTTTAATTCAATTAACTTCGGATCTCAGCACTAAAACAAAACACACAGACAAACACACACACACACAACAAAAGAGGCACAAGATCAGTCAGTAAGCCAGAGGGACAGGGCACAGATAATAAACAAATGGCGCCAACAACAGCGACAGCAGCAACAACAACAGCTTTGGCAAATCATGCAAATTGTACAACAACAACAACAACAACAACAACAGCAGCAGAAGCAGCAGCAGCAATAAAAGCAACAACATCTACAAGACTCAACTTCGGTATCGGGCTAACAGCGCGCCCGATCGACAAAGTTGGCTCTGCTTGGCAACGTTGGCAACTAATTTCAATAGATTTGCATATTGAAGTCAGTTCGCCAACAACAATGCGAGACGGCCAAAAAGACGCACATTTGTCAACAGTTGAGCAGTTGTTGTTGCGGGTCTGAGGGCATGGCCGAAGGCAGCTCGAGGGCCACAAACGGGCAATGTGATTGGGCACAATTGAATGCGGCGACAAGCGGCGCTTACAACTACGGCAAATGAAGACAGCAACGTGGACGTTGACGTTGATGGTTATCCAAGCAATAGCAACAGCAACAGCAATAACAGCAACAGCAACAACAACAACGACTATAACAAAGGCCACTGTGAACAACATTTATACCCACAGTGGCGAGCCTATAAAAGTTGCTCCTCTGCCTGCCCCACACGACTGCATTTCGAGATTAAAAGTGACACAGCAAAACAAAGGGAACACTGCAGCAACAACAGCAACAACTGAGCCTATTAGCCTGTGCAACAACAACTGCTGAGAACCTGTCTTTTGTCTTCATGTCAGGCACTTAAGGCCCTAACCCTAGCTCCATGCGCATAACAGACAGCACTCGCTATTGCAAACTGTGCCACACACTCAGTCAAGCCACACACACTCACACACAAACGGACAACATGGCTTGAAATTTCGGCCAACATGTGCCAAATTCAATTGAAGTTTTCATAAGTGAGTACTTGGACACATTTAAGATATCGCCTTATGCAATCATCAAACACTCAATCACTGCAAATGAAACCACATTTTCTTCAAACTTTAGATTTGAGCGGCTCACGGCTTAAGCACCAGCGAATTCGGACAAAAAACTGTGCTTGAGTATTAGCGAAATGAATATGAGTTTCAGATTAACTTTGATTATTCAAATTTTTGTTTAATTGCTAAACGATTTTGGGCAAAAAATGTTGTTCAAATTATGAAGACAAAAATTAAGCAATATACTTTAAATATTTTTTTGGCATGCACATTTTTCTCAAGGTCTAAAAATATTTGTTGTCAATTTGCAGAAAATATAAAATTAAAATAATATATAAAAACTATAAAAATTCGGTTCACTTTATAAAAATGTAGAGAAATTTTTGTATAGCTCTTGCTGTCAATGAAAATTTGTTAATAAATTAAATACTGTGTAAAAAAAATTATTTACCCATTATAAAATATATTTACCCATAAAAAAAAATTCAAACAGATTTTGCACTCTAGAAAATTTGTTTAAAAATGATTAATTAATTGGAGAAATGCTAACCGGAAATTGATATAGATGTATTTATAGAAATGTGTCATATTTGAAGTCAGCAAAGCTAAGTCTGGGCTTCAGCTTGCTAACACCCATGTGAAGATTTATTTACATGCACACAGACACACATGCAGTTATCTGAGGCTTAACTGATTGATCACAGAATAATCTAAAGAGAGTTTCCATTGGCGTTTCCTGTTTTGGGCAGACTGGCAATTGCCAATTGGCAATTGGCAACTGGTAACTGACAATTGGCAATTGGCAATCGGCGATACATGAACTTTTACTTAGTCATGGCTATGCGAGCTGCACAATTGTCGCAATCTGGTCCAGCTTTGCCATATTTGTATGCCAA